TTTTCTATTCTATTCTATTTATTCTACTCTGTTCTTCATTCCTATTCTATTTTCTATTCTATTTTCTATTATTCTATTATTCTACTCTATTCTTTTCCATTCTATTCTATTATCTATTATTCTATTTATTCTATTCTATTTTCTATTCTATTCTATTCTATTCTATTCTATTCTATTCTATTCTATATTTTATTCTATTTTCTAGTATTCTGTTCTGTTTTCTATTCTATTCTATTTATTCTACTCTGTTCTTCATTCCTATTCTATTTTCTATTCTATTTTCTATTATTCTATTATCCTACTCTATTCTTTTCCATTCTATTCTATTTTCTAGTATTCTATTTATTCTATTCTATTTTCTATTCTATTCTAACTTAACTATTCACCGATACGGCTTCCCGGGGGCACCCCAAAGGCCTTGCCCTCTTCCAAAATCCGGAGCCAATCTCACCAGATTTAAAAGCGAAACCCTCCTTTCTCACCTCGCCAGGTGGGGTGGGCCAATCCAGGTAACCCAAACAGCGTGATATTTTGCAGGAAACAATGCATAGAACAGGAGCAGCAGTTTGATTTCCTGAAGGACCTTGTGGCTTCGGTACCCGACATGCAAGGCGATGCCGAGGACAACCACACGGAAGGAGGAGAGAAAGTTTCCCGTCGGTAGGTCACGAAAATCAATCCCCAAAGGAACAACCTTCCAGCGAAGTAGATAGTCCTTGACTTACAACTGTTCATTTAGTGACCACTCGAGATGACGAGTGAAAAAAACTGTGCATCCCTGTGATAAAAATTCAGACCGTTGGTGGTTGATTCATATTTATGACGGTCGCAGTAACTCGGGGTCAGGAGATTCCCCTTTTTCAACAAGCAAAAGTCAGTGTCATGCCCGTCAGAATCTGACTCAGAGGAGGAAGCCGGACAGCTGACAGAGAGTGGGAATGTGGCTTTGTTGACTGTGGAGGAAACTGGGGAAGGGCAAAGTCCAGCTGGGCAGAGTAGGGGAGAGAGAGAGAACAAGGGAGAGGGGGTTCAGAGGAAGACCTAGGCCCACCCCCTCTTTATATTAGGGCACACAGGGAGGAACGGAGAAGGGAGCAATGTGGGTTGCATGGCTTACGGGGGAGAAAAGGGCCCTGATTCCCTTCATTAGCCACAGCTGGGAACACAGTGTACTATAAAAAAAGGAAGCTCCGCGCAGCAAGCTGTTGAGAGCAAACGTGACTTTATCTTGTATCATCGATGCTTATCTGTGTTCCTGGCATCTTCCCAACTGTGTGAGTTTTGGCGTGCTTTCAAGTCTGAAATTCTTGCTCCTGCCCTGCCAAACTAAATACTTCAGTTTGATTTGTTTGGATTTTAAGTTACAGTTTGTGTGTACCTTGTTTGGGACTTGATTCTCTGCAGCGAAAGGCTGTTCCTGGGAGAGTTTTTCTCTAGCCAAAGGTAACCTGGACATTGGGGGCAAAGTTGGAGCTAATAAAGGGACTCTTCTTGCTTATTTGACTGTGTTGCATTGTGCCACGCCCCTTTGGGTCATCCCAGAGATTTTGGTGAATTGGCCTGCTACTTGTTAAAAGGAAAGCCATCCTGTTCGGCGGGATATATAGGTCGCCCTTGCTTTACGGAGATTTCATTTAGCAACTGTTCCAAGTTACAGCGGCACTGAAAAAAGGTGGTTTGTCACCAGTCCTCACACTTATGACTGTTGCAGCTTCCCCCGTGGTCACATGACCAAAATTTAGCATGTATTTACAGCGGTTGCAAGCACCCTGGGAGTCACAGGATTGCCATTTGAAACTTCCCAGCTCACTCCTGACAAGCAATGGGGAAAAGCTGGAGTCACTTTTAACAACCGCATGATTCACTTAAGAACGGCACGAGTCCCTGAACAGCCGCCTTGCTTAGCAGTGGAAATTCGGGTGCCAATTGTGCACATAAGTGAAGTCCTACCTATAATAATTCCAAATTATTCCACCATTTTTCTTTTTATAAAAACCTTATTTGTCCCCCTCTTTGACGGCAGGGGCCGAAAACCTGGCAGCGGGCGAAGGAACGGTGGCACGGCGGGAAAAGGAAAAGATCCGAAACAATCTGGCACAGACTCTGAACAGGACGTAAGTTGGTGGCAAAACGTGGTATTTTCTCAGGCATGGCTGAGTGGCGTTTGTGCAATGCAATCAAAGACCCGTTCCAGGGTCAAGACCAGTGATGCAAGGAGCATTAATTTCCCATAATGCTCTGGGTCCTTTTGCTTGGGTCTAAGGGAGGGATACAGGAAGTAGCAACTAAGCAACGTCCATTTGTTATCCTGTTAATTCTCCTCCCACCCTGGTTTCTCCTGTTATGGTGATGTTATTGGAGAAAAGACAATCCAGGAGAGAAGCAACTTAGAACTAAGGAGAAACTTCCTGGCAGTTGGAACAATTAATCAATGGAACAGCCTGCCACCAGAAATTGTGAATGCTCCAAAACTGGAAGTTTTTAAGAAGAGATTAGATAACCCTGTGCCTGAAATGGTCTCGGGTTTCCCGTCTAAGCAGGGGATCGGACTAGAAGACCTCCAAGGTCCCTTGCAGTTCTGTTTTTCCTTCCTTCCTTCCTTCCTTCCTTCCTTCCTTCCCTCCCTCCCTCCCTCCCTCCCAGGTTTTTAAGAAGAGACAGGACAGCCATTTGTGTGAAATGGGGGTTGGGCTAGAAATAACCTCCAAGGTCCCTTCCAACTCTATTATTATTCTAAACCTTCCAAGCAAGTCCTTCAGCTGGGGATCTGGAGTGATGCCAAATATTTCCCAGAATTTGCAGCATTCTGAGCCACGAAACCTAGGAATCCTGGGAATTTAAGCCCATCCCTTGCAAAGTCTGCTTGGGGGGACTTAATTCCCTAACGCCCCAGTTCAAGTCTGCCTTCCTTCTGTGAAATGGTACATGGAGTCAGACAGACAGGCAGACAGATCAACAGAGTTGAAAGCAACCTTGCAGGAGATAATCTAGTGTGCAACTGCCCCCCCCCCCCCCCCCCCGGCGGAGATCCTACAGCTTTTCTTAACATAAGTTAGAAGGGACCTTGTAGGTCATCTAGCCCAACCCCTGCCCAAGCAGGAGACCCTACACCATTTCTGACTGATGTCAGTCCAGTCTGTTCTTGAAAGCCTCCAGGGATGAAGCTCCCACAACTTCCGAAGGCAGCTTCTGTTCCATCGGTTGATTATTCTCACTGTCAGAAAGTTTCTCCTTATTTCCAGGTTAAATTTCTCCTTGTTCAGTTTCCATCCGTTATTCCTTGTCTGGCCTTCTGGTGCTTTGGAAAATAGCTTGACCCCTTTCTCCTCTTTGGGGCAGCCCCTCAAATGTTGGAAGATGCTCTCCTGTCTCCCCTGGTCCTTCTCTTCCCTAGACCAGCCAGGCCCAGTTCCTATAGTCGTTCTTCAGATGTTTTAGCCTCCAGTCCCCTAAATCATCCTGGTTGCTCTTCTCTGCACTTTTTCTACAGTCTCGACATCTTTTTTATAGTGTGGTGACCAAAACTGAATGCAGGACTCTAGGTGTGGCCTTACTAAGGCTTTATAGAGTGGTATTAATACCTCGCTTGATCTCGATTGTAGCTTTTGGGGCTGCCGCCGCACACTGTTGAGCCCAAAATTTATCTTGCTAAGTGAGAAATTGGTTAAGTGAGTTTATCTCCCATTTTACGACCTTCCTTGCCCTGTTTGTTTCAGGGAATCCCTGCCGTTGCTTAAATTAGTAACGTGGCTATGAAGCGAATCTGATTTCCCTGTTGACTTTGCTTGTTAGAAGGTTGCAAAAGGGTCACGAGACACTGTCACCGTCGTAAATATGAGTCCGTTGCCAAGCGCCTGAATTTTGATCAGGTGACCCTGAGGATGCTGCAGTGGTCCTAAGTGTGAAAAACGGTCCTGAGTCCCTTCTTTTTTTTTTACTGCTATTGCAACTTTGAACAGTCACTGAACGAACTCCTTTTTATATATATATAAATTTTATTGAAAATTAAAATTTAAAAACATTTGAACGTCGTGATCTTTTGACATATATCAGCATACACATACATATACATCTTTACATTGTAAATCTTTATATTCATTTCTATCTTGGAAATTTTATTGTAGTATAAACTCTTAATTTCTATTTTACATTTTTTTGACTTCCTTTCATATCCCTCCAATTGTAAAAATTTTTTTCCATCTTTCATAGAATTCTGAAATATCTCGTTCCTTCAGTTCTAACGTTAAGCGGTCTAACTCGGCGCAATGCAGAATTTTTATTATTATTATTTCATCATTAGGTATTTCTTTTCATTTCCATGTTTGGGCAATCGATAATCTTGTGGCTGTGATAATATGTATAATTAGATACAGATCTGCTAAACGAACTTTTCTAAATCGAGGACTACCTGTATAGACGGGGTTGGACTAGAAGACCTCTGAGGTCCCTTCCAACTATTGTTATTCTGCTTGTTTTTTACAGGATGATTCAGAAGACAGTGAAAGCAACGGAGAAGAGGAAGCTATGCAGACTATTCCCTCTACACAACCAGCTGCTACGCATCTCTCTCCGTAATTCATCTTTTCTTATTTTTCTCCCCCCGCCCCACGTTCTTTCTTAACACTGGTTAAGTGGCCGACGGTATGAGCTTTCTTGCCACGGTCATTAAGTGAATCGCTGCAGTTGTGAAGTTAATCACATGGCCGTGAGGGAAATCCAGCTTCCCCGTTGCAACGAGAGGATCACATGTGACCTTGGGACACTGCGACCGTCATAAATATGAACTGGTTGCCAAGCATCCGGATTTTGATCATGTGGCCGTGTTTGGGAGGCTGCATTGGTCAGAAGTGTGAGAAAATAGTCACAAGTCACTTTTTTCAGGGACATTGATTGGCCCAAAGTCACCCAGTCGGCTTTCCTGTCTAAGGCGGGAT